AAAAATACGCAACCTGAACGTGCCAAAAATAATTGCTACTACATTAAAATACATTTGCGGTGCTAGATACTTTCTAGTGGACGGACAAGTTGCCTCATAGCTGTTCATTACTGCCAAGCTCCACTATTTTCTTTTTATCTCTCGAGTCTTGTTCACTTGCGAAATTGGCATCACAATTCATGTCCTTTACACGGACTTTCTCGCACGTATAATTAAAAATTCTAAAATTCTCACCAGCAATTATCATAAATAGAGCTGATTTAATAAACTCCTCCAACCTGTTCCGAAAAGCTCATTATGTTAGACCGCGAGATTTAAGGGTCATTACTAAATATATGATCTGATAATTATACTGAATATGTGCATTAACTAAAGGAAAACGCAACAGTTTCTGTGAGTGAGTTGATATGTTAAACGCGACAACTGCTTACGATTCGCAGGTCGGCTGGGTGGAAATTCAGACGGACAAGTCTAGTTCTATATTGGTTGGTGGGTCAAATATACTCACGTACCGGTGAAGCTTTCCAGAGGTTCTGTCTGATAAATTTGAGGCGAAACAAGGCAAGAAGATACCAGCCTCGAATTGCACGACCATTCTCAAATCTCAGCTGAACGAGTCACAAGAACACAAGAATGCTCCTCGTTCATCTTTGGACACCATTTGATACACTAACGAATATTAGTATTGACTAGAGTAATTAAAGAAACTATTTTCTTTACTAAGAGTTCCACATTTTTTGTAATTTCCTGTGCTCCCACGTACTCTGTGGAAACTAGACTGCTCGAAATTCGAAGCATTTATGGGCCAAATTGGGTGCAATTCTGTGGTAGAATCCACTTCACTTGGCTCAGGAACTATTGGCTACAAGAATATTTTATCACAAGGACCCTTTCCTTGGACTTTTTCGGTTAGTACTCATCTAATAGTAGTACTTATAGTGAGCTACGTGCCACAAAATTCACATATGGTAGTTCGAGTTGTGTATGGTACATTCGAGATAACGACGAAGATAATCCAGTGGTGAGAATAAGGTCTGAAAATCCAGTTTTGATATTCAATCGATAATTTCATCAAAGAAAGACAACAAATTGACGAGTTTTTAACAAGAGGCACGCTACTGTTTCTAAAATTTAGAGTTTTTTCGGTCCCATAGAGTTATTCATTCTTTCATGAAACAGATACCATTGCATAACATTTTTACGCAGCGTTCCTTCTTTGTCACCGTCGACACGCATCAGAAAATTCGAGAAAGCGAATTGTTCTTCGAAGCAAACGTGTCTCAAAGCATGTCTCAGCGTCCCAAATATAGTACAACGCAATCCCTGATAATATTTCGAGGTCCTCTTTAAAGCTTTTAGTACGCCTTACCTCTGAGTTTCCTTTCATTTGAAGCTTTGCCGTAGCAAGCTGACCAGTACAACTCGTACGAAGTCCTGAGCACCGTTTCGCTTCACTTGACGTGAATAGACCCATTTTCGCATTGAATTGGCGAGTGTTGGATCAAAACTTTCTCCTGCGTTGCATCTGAGTTCGACAAGAGGGTTACGATGATATCACCTGCCTTCGCGCGCCGGTTAAAACTGACTGAAGTTTCTTCTTACTTCGCGTCCGCTTGCATTGGCATGGCGCCATGTTGATCCTGGAAAAAGCGGGAAGCAAAAGCAGAAATTCAGAGCAAAATTTCTAACCTGGCACATCTTTAAAAATGATGTTCCCGACTTCTTGCTAAGAGAAAAACGGTTTTCCCGTTGACTGCCTCTCTATTAGAGATTAACATGAGCGGTAACAACACCAAATAGACTCGGAAGGACAAATGAGCATTGCATCATTGTGTCGTTTCACTTATGGAAAGCTTATTGCGCGCGTGCGCATGATTTTGTTTTCTGTTTCTTTTTTTTATTTTTTTTATTTCGTTTCATGGATCATGCGCAGTTCTGAAGTTGAAAACAGGGTGATGATGAAAGAGCCAAGGTTAATTCGGTGCAGAGGTCCTCCCGCAGGCAATTGATCGAACATATTTGATTCATCGTGATTACCGCCCGTGATACCCTTAGGGTGCGAACCATCTAGAAGCACCAGGTAGAACTCTTACATTGTCTTTTATGGGTATGCCTTTTCAAATTTATAATTTTTTTTTTCGGACCGTTAATTGTCGTTGTGTTTTTATTTTTGTTGCTCTTTTTTATACCTGCCCCGTGTGAGTATGATAAATAGAATTCTGAAAACTTAAAACGAATGCCAAACAATTGGCTAGTTACAAACCATAAGTGGGGTGTTGATCACAGGACCTCCAAAAGACGAAACTAAGAAAATAGGAGCGTGGACTACAGAACCTGGATCTCCGGATCTCCGGCCTCATTCCTGTCTTTCTAACTATCTGTTTCCACAGTCTGTTTCGGGTACGATTTGCGGGCTGAATTTTAAGCGTTATTTATTCCAAATGTAACGGAGAAAAATTCCAAAACAGCCTCATTATTTAACGTCAATTCACCTTGGCTTTGCGCTAGATCTTCCAATTGATTGTCGCGAGACATTTGCCGAACTAAACACAACGGCGACGCAACATTGGGAAATATATATAAACGTAAACAAAAACGAGGCAATGAGAAATTAAAGGGAAGGGAACAAACAGTCTGAAGCGAGGGAGAAAGCAAGTGATTAATCATTAGTCGTAATATGTTCATATTTTCCCTCTGCCTGGTTTCTTATTTTCAATCTCAAAAATAGAGCGCGGTGAAGCGAAACAAGTGCTTAGCCTCCCTCTTTTCGACACAATTTTTAATTTGGCGTTAAGTCACTAAGAGTACTAGCCCCCTCCCCCTCCCCCCTTCGCATCCACTGAAACATTTGCTGCGTGGGCCCAGGCCCTGGACGGGCAAGCTAGACCTTGACCTTGCTAGAAACTGCATGTGCCGAGACACGTGCTTGTGATTGCGAAAAAGTCTAGAAATTGTTCGAGGTCAATCTTTATCTATCTTCTGCATTTCTACTACTTAGTAATTGTTTTCGTCTTTCATTCACAGCCTCAGGCTATTTTGCTCGCAACAAAATATTTGATACAAGTCTTAGAATTGCTTCTAACTTTGCAAATTCTAAGGTTATGATTTGTTAATATGACAACTAAAATCTTGATGTACAGGATTGATAGCAATTTTTTTGGCAACCTCTATGCGCAAGCTAACACTACTTTGGGCAACCTCCAAATAGTGATCAAACAAATTTTTCAATTCGTTCGAGTCTATATAAATACACAGCCAACTCGCACTGAATGTGTAGCTCACTACTCGGCACCCGAAAATAGCTCATCATATGTTTTCTGAATTAAATCTTTAAGTTTTGTTATGTACCGTTTACAAATATTTAGAATACTGAAAATTACCAAGGCCAACAGAAACGTCAAAAAAACTTAAGATCCTGAAGGCATATCTATTCACATGTTTAACATCATGACGGCAATAGGGTCAAGAGATCAAGAAAGTTTGCCGAGTGCTTAACCATCCAGTTACGTTTTCAAAAAAAGCACGCAAACTAGAGAAACTGAAATCAACCAGAACGTGATGAAGTACAATATCTTTTAAAAAAATTACCGCCATTTTTACTCAAAGTCATTTCTTCTTCCTTCTCATTAGATCGTTACTCTGCTTAAAGAGAATAAGACCGTTGCGTGACTACGAGCGTGACTGCTATCCAAATAGCATCTTCATCACGCAACTGTTGTTCATCATTTAAACTCACAGAGGGGTGGGAGAGTCCATGGAATTTCTTCTTACTGAGTCGGTCGACTGAACAGTTGAAAAAAGGACGTCCAAGTTACATCTCAACGAACTGGAAAATAGGCATTTTTTAGATGTGTTAGGACGATTATCTATCTGTTTTATTTCCTTCATAATTGCTTTGAACAAAGATATTTTTCAATGAAATATTTTATACAAGATACCAGGGGCTGAAACCACACGAAGGTTAATGTATTCTCCCAGAAGTGTTGTGTTTAGTACTGAGGGTTTCCTGTATGCTGTTGTTGCTGAGCCTGCTGTGTAAGGTCCTGTGGCGCTGGAGTCGATAATTGACGCGTACTAGCAATGTCTCGTCTCTGAAGTCCTACTTCACGTGGCACTGCCAGCTGCCGCTGGAGTGAGAGGTCCGCAGATTTTGTGAATTTCGGCATACACCGTAGACTGCTGTTGCTGCTGCTGCAGTTTTCGTTGTTGTTGTTGTTGATGTTGTTGGTCCTATTTCTGTTGTTGCTGTTTTTTTCAAAATTTGTTGAAGAAACTGTTGAGTAGTTTAGGCCGTATTCGGGCTCGGTGCCTGATGGGGTATCGGTTCCAACTTAAAAGGAATAATTTGTACACCAAAATTATGCAGTAAAAATATGTGGTGATCGTGCTCATTCAAGAGCTAAATACCATCGTAACTCTTTACCTGGTCCGTGTAAACAATAAGAAACTGAATACCGTGCTCTCGGAATGCGCTTATTCGCATGCTTACGTGATAATTATGTCCCTTTAGCATGCACAACGCAATACTGAGAAATCCCCTTAACGTACACGTGCTGCGTGAATTTGTGTAAAATTTGAGCGCGAAGCGGGACTGGAACCTCTTAATAGGGTCACGAAAGTTACCCGAGTTTTAACTATCCACTGATTCTTTAAAAATAAGCATGCACACTCAAGAAGCTGTGATCAACCCGAAAGTAGCGCATTAGGAATTATAAAAGAAAAGAAACCGCTTTATTTAATTAAGACTCTTCCTTTGTCTTTTACTTAAGATCGTCACGGAACGTAAACAGAACAAGACCGTTGTATGACTATCCAAATACACGCCATCTTCACGTCTAATCACCACATCACATCGCGCAACAGAACCATCCTTATGGAACAAAGAGCGGTGTGGAGAGGTAATTTTTCATTACAAGAAGGAACTCATTTTGGTTTTCTTTCCGAGTGGGTCAACTGCTCAAATAAAAAAAAGACGTCCTTAACTCACAGGAAAATAGGCATTTTGTGAACGTGTTTGACACGAATTTCTCTCTATTTTATTTTCTTCATAATTGCTATTTACAAGGACATTTTCTCATTAAATTTTTTAAAACATCATACCACGAGCTGAACTCTTAGAGACGGAAGGGACGGTGGGGAAGGGGGAAGGGGTCTATGCTTGATGGAGGGGAGGATGGAGGGGTTGAGGGGTCCAACAAGCTGCGTTTTAAAGTTTTAAAGGGAGAAGGGCAAGCCCATGTGTAGCCGTACCCCCCCTCCCGCTGAGGTGAAACGGAGGCGATACAACCTCGCTTCCGTTTCATCTTGGGCGGGAGGGTACGGCTACACGTAGGCTAGAAGGGCTTAATTTTAGCGGATCTTCTCCTCCTAGGGATCTATTACCCAGGTTAGTGGAGACCCGTGTTTTGTTCCTGTTATATTCCCTTAAAACTGTGGTGTTTGGTACTGAGGATTTCCTGTGTACTGTTGTTGCTGAGCCTGCTGTGTAAGGTCCTGTGGCGCTGTAGTCGACAGTTGACGAGTAAACTGAGCAATGTCTTGTCTCTGATGTCCTACATCAGGTGGTGCTGATATCTGTCGCTGGAGAGTAAGGTCAGCGGTTTGTGTAAATTGTGCGGACGCCATCGATATGTCTGGGCCAGCTAGTAAGGAATACGATATCACAATCAGAGTCTAACTTGCCAAACAAGTTAAAAAATAACGAAAAAATAAATGGTAAAACCAATCACAAGAAGCAAGGTGAAACAGGGCAAACTAATACGGGTAATTTGATGCCTAAGTTTAAGTCTCAGAAAAAAAAAAAAAAAATAACCACTCACACCACGAAACCAAAAACCACCACTATATGTACGTGTCATAAACCGGCACTGGTATGAACAAACGAAGGGCATTAACGATTGGATACTGGCAGGTGTTCAAGGAATGGGCTCCCGCTATAAGCCAAAAAAAAAAAAAAAAAGAAAAAGCGTTTTTTAACTTATTTTTTTTTTTCTTTTGCTCATGTTGTTTTATTTTTGGTTTTTTGATGTAATTATTGTTTTGTTTCGTTTCAATCGTGCGGGCGTTTCTCACTAACCATCAATATTCGATTCGACTGAAACAGTTTTTACGGGTTTTGCCGAGGCAAGCCAAAAACCTTTTACCTGACAACTGTCTATGTAAATGTCTCATTATCAACTCAGTTGAGGCACGATTTTGTTGCTGCTGTTGTTGGTGTTGCTGTTGCTGTTGCTGTTGCTGTTGCTTGATTTGTTGTTGTTGTTGTTTCAACTTAGCAGCCGCTAAAAGCCTCTGGTTGTGTTGTTGCTGCTGTTGTCTATTCACAGAGCTTTGCTGGAACTGGTTTTGGAACGCTGGTTGCATCTGCGCCACTGGGTTCATTTGCGCGTGCGCCGATGACACAGGCAGCGGAAGTTGCATCGTGGCCTGCGCCTGTGGCTGTGGCTGAATAGCCCGCGGACCAGTCAACGAAAACTGAGTTTGCTGTTGGACCTGCTGCTGTTGTTGTTGTATTTGTTGTTGTTGTCTTTGTTGTTGCTGCTGCTGAACGAGCTGTTGTTGTTGTGGTTGTATTGGCCGCGTGAGGGCCTGGGATACAGTAAGACCTTGATAGAGGCAAAGGGAATGATGACTTAATCTCTCTCTTTCATAATTTCTCTAATAATAATAATTAAAAAAATAGATTACGTACTAAATTATATAGGATATGATTCATGCTACCCTCTTCATAACGGTACACAGAACCACGGATTCTTCTTCGTTTTCTTGTTTATTCTCCGCACAATGTCTCGCTAAGAGGACTTATAACTCACAATAAACCATAAAAAAACTCTCTCTGTAAACTCGCTATTTTTGTCGCGTCCGGTTGTCTGATTTGGATCGCACGTGTTCATCACCTTATTTGGTAGTACTCACAAGTGTCACAAACTAAGAGGGGTGGGATCAATAAAAACTTATGTACCTCTTGGCCCTTAGGTTTGATAAAATTCCTAGTCTAAGCCTTATTATAGCTTCATTTTGATTGGTTCTTACAGACGCATAGAAAACGTCACCACCAACAAGATTTTTCACCAAATAAAACAAGTAGATTCCATATTGCCGTGGGTTTGTACAATACTTCATAGATGACAGAATTCGTCAAAATGTGGTAAGCTGGTGAATGTCACACTCAGCTGCACCTCGTGTGCCACTGTTTGGTTCTTACCATACTGTGATGTCATCTGTGATCTTTTTTTCTGAACACAAGCACGGCAACAAGGAATCTACTTGTCAAATAGACAGTAGGAAGAATTTGTTTACGTTAAGGTATTGGTGTAAGATCTTAAGCGCTTGCTAATTATTTTTGTGTAATCTTGTGTTTATTTAATATTCCGTCTTTGCGTTTTTCATGCCTTCTCGTTGGTATTTAGTGTTAGGTTTGTTGACGTTTATCTTCGTCAGTCTCAAACTTTTTGCACGTTTCTCATGCCGCACGTGATTTCGAAGTTCTCCTGTATTTTCATTTACGCATAACCACTTTTTAAAGTCAGTTTAACGCTGAGCGCAGTTCTCTGTCTAGAAGTCTTCTTCACCTTAAAAGTTATTCGCTACTTCTGTTAGAAATTTGGCGTTCAGTATCAATGTAAGTATTTTCCATTCCGCTTCTTTTTCATTCATTTTTTGTTTGTAATTTGATCAGATTCAACCCGCTGCTGTATGTTAGCTGTGTAAATAAAATTCTGAGTAAAGTATCCTACGTTGGTGCCCCTCTTTGTTAGTGTTCCCTCATAAAATGAACAAAGACACGCTTTGCCAGGGTTTTTACACAGAGAACTCGGCATGAGGTCAAGTTTGCAAAAATTCTGCCATAAGCTTACCTTGAAATGCAGCCGAGTTAAACGACTGTTGTTGCGTGATCATGCCACCAAGAGATGAAGGCAGTGCCATGGTGGTCGGAGCTGAGGATGTAGAAACGAGATTGGGCCGAGTTGTGACCTGGGTTCTACCAAGGGCCGTGGAACGCTGGGGCTGAGTGAAGGTGTATTGTTGACTGGGGTGGATTTGACCAACTGCTTGCGAAGCCTGAAGCTATGAAGACAGCGACAATAACCGAAAAAATACAAATCACGTCAAAGTAATAAACACGGTCTACTTTTTCCTTTTTTATAATCTCACCGCTTTCTACATAGAAAATACTTATGGTGAATCTTTAAGATCAATAAACAATAACAAGGTCAGTCCACAACACCAAGAGCTATGCTCCCTTCTCTTTGAGAGAAGTGCACGGGTTCTATAACTTCCCCTGCTATCTAGTGCAGAGAAGAAGCAGGAAACAGGGCCTAAATGGCTAACTATTTGCAGATGTCGAAGCAAACGTAGCACATTCTACTCAGTTCTTTTCAGACCCTTGTTGTTGGTTCGGTCTGGGGCTTGAACCCTCGACCTCACGAACGGCAGTCCGGCGCTCTACAAAAATAGATAACCGAGCACAATTGAGAAAAACGGTTCTGATTCTGTACTAAGTTTATACTTGGCCTCTTAAAGTGTACAGAACTGAAAACATCACCTAGAAATTTCAGTTCCACTACCTGATTGTTGGGAGGTAAATGTCTTAACTGCTGGTTTGTTTGCGGCTGTTGTTGTTGCTGCTGCTGCTGCTGCTGAGAAATCTGTGTTTGTCCCATTTGAAGTTGCTGTTTGAGAAGCGAGTTCTGTTGTGTAAAAAACTGCAACGCTTGCTGTTGTTGCTGTTGCTGTTGTTGTTGCTGCTGTAGTTGTTGTTGTTGATGTTGTTGTTGATGATGTTGTGGTTGTTGTTGTTGTTGTTGTTGCTGCTGCTGTTGTTGTGTTTGTTTCTGTTTTCTTGAAATAAGTTGATTGATAAGCTGTTGAGTAGCTACGGACGCATTTGGGCGCGGTGCCTGATGGGGTATTGGGTTCTGGGAGGGGTGTGACGTCAACATAGACCGTAGATCAGTTAACGGATTTGGATTAGCCAACCTGAAGATATATAAAAAAAACAAATTAACAGTGACTGAAAACCAGAAGAAAAGCGTTTAAGGAGAACCATTCTCCAGAAGTCACTTTTATCTCTTTGTTGCAACACTGACTAACACCTTGAAATTGTCTACAAATATCCTAAAAATTGGCATTTTTAATCCTGCTTAGCAGCCTGGTTACTGAGCCATGAAAAAGTAACACAACTCTTTTTCCCATCTCGTGGCAATCTATTTGAGCAATTAGAAGCTAAACAAAAGGGTATTCTAGATATATATATGTAATTATATATATAAATGTGGGGGTAGAGTCTACCTTGGCATAAAGTGCTCAATGCTGTGGTAGCAGAGCTAAGTATACATAAGTTAAAGAATTAAAGAGGACGTATCGATTCTCGATATATATATATATATATATAATTTTTTGGTCAAATCTAGAACAGCGAATGCTTGTGGACAGCGCTTTGGTGTTTTGCAGGTGCGTTCAGGTTGTTTGCAAATGGCAGCGGATATATATTTATGTATACTTTTATTTTCACCAACAGGGTAAATAAGTGTTATCAAATGAGTTGATAACGTTAGTTGACCACCGTACCAATCGCACCGATTATTAACCACCGACCAATCGCTCTAACGAAGGGCTAACACTCGAAACGTCCGCTTTGACACTCTCTACGGTGGTCAGTTGATAATACTAATTTACCCCGTTACGATCTCCCACAGACGCAGCACCACAGGTTATTCAGAAAGTTTCCCCCTTTAATCGTATATTTTCATCAATTTAGCTTTGATGAAGCATTTATTTTCGTCAACGTTCATTTATTTTTATAGTTGCTGGTTTTAGTCGCATACTTCTTCCAAACATGAGCAGACACGAGTATTTTTTTCCCACACAGTGAGTACCAGGCTTCTTCTACTACTCAACAAAAGACTCCGACTCACCTTTGCTGCTGCTGTGGCTGCATTCCAGTCGGAACCTGAAGGTTCCTTTGCTGTAGACCCTGCTGGAAGAACGCTTGCTGCTGCTGCTGCTGCTGTTGCTGCTGGGGAGGGTTCTGCCCGGGGAGCATCATCCCAGCCGGTTGGTTCTGAAAGTATTGCTGTTGCTGTTGCTGCTGCTGCTGTTGCTGTTGTTGTGGCTGTTGTTGGTGTAGTAGATATTTCTTTTGCACGGCCGCTTGACCAGGCAGTTTCGTTGTTGGGCGTTTTGGTCGCTTCGTGACCTTTTTCGTTTTTCCTCCGTCTGGCAAAGCCATTTGGTTCGCTGGGAGGCTTTGCGGTACGTTAAGGGCTGTTGGAACGTTCAGGCCTGGAGCTACTGGTGCAGTTATCAAAGGTATTTGACCTGAAATAAGAAAAGAGAGAACGAATTTGAAAAATGTACCTCAACACTGACCGTTGAAAGGATGAAAACTTATAGTTTGTAACTAAACGAATCTATATCTACAAATGGGGACGTATCAAAATGGTGCTCCTTCGCTTGCCATCAATAGCATTGACATCTCTTCTGCTGGAGGATAAAGTCTGCATCTAATAGCTGTCACAACTATCAGCGCTTGTCCCCTTATCGGAAACATGAATCGACTAAGTGTCCTTCGTGGACGGTACCCTGTTCTGTACCAAATAGACCCCCCTCAGCCCACTCAGTTTCCCGGAAAGTTCCCTCGTATGACAAGAGTCACACAATTACTGCTAACAAAGTTCGAGCCCATGCCTTACGATCTTAGGTCTGGCTCGCTTAGCATCCGCCCAAGACGTCTCCCTGGGGATCAATAATTAAATAATCTCAAAAGAACTAAAATATGCCATGAGTGGGCCTGATAGGTGTTCAGCGACATTTCATTTCTGCCTCATGCTAATCTTGGTTCGAGCATACTTACATGAAAGTGAGCTGCAAAACTACTGGAAGTGTCAAGTCTATTTTCAAGTGAACTTAGCGCTCTTTTTCAAAACCCCACCAAGAGCACGTCACCATTTTATATCTGTAATATTTTCACCTTTATTGTCCGCTGGAGTCTGTGGAGTAGCAGGTTGACTTGACTTGTCCGCTGCTGCTGCATCTAACTCTATTCTATCTTCCTCTTCGTCTTGCTCGTCCTCTTTGTCAGGAGCAGGACTAAGGAAGTAACTAAGCGGCCGTCTTCTGGGATGTGTGTGATGCAGAAGTCTTCGAAAATCTTGCTCATACCTCAGAGGTTTACGCTCAATCCGAACGGCACCAAACCACGCCCACGACAGAGGTGAGGGGTTTTTGTACCCCTCCATAAGTTCCCATGCACTGATTCGTTGTTTGCCTGTTATCTGCAAGCCCTGGTACAAGTGAGGGAACGAATAAAAAATAAGGGGAGAACTGAAGCAGTGAAACTGTCAAACTGTGCATGAAAAAAGTCGTACACTTTGGGAAGACAATCTTATCTTCCTTGCTTGAAAATAAACATTATGTACATGCACTGTAATAAATGTTGGAATTTTCCAATACAAAAGAGCTTTCCTTGCGCGTGAAATTGGATACGTAAGCCCAATTGTTGCTTCCATTTTGTTGGGTCGAAACGTAAATGGTCAAAAGAGTGTTTAATCAAGAGATTAAAGATGCAACCCGGTCGACTTTCACGACGTGCGTAGGTGCCTTTTCACGTGTATAATTCATAACATTTATTCAACTCACAAAATGCTACTGATAACGTCTAAATATGAAAGGAACTCTCGAACAGGTACCTGGCTGGTGCTTGGTCCTCCTGTGAGAGCTTTGTCTGCAGTCTGCCCAGGATTCGCGGGTGTGTCTTTGACAGGTGAAACAGTGAACACATTGTGTGAAAGGGAGGGGAGGGGTAGGAGCTGTTTACACTGCTGCATGATGTCAATGGGACTTTTTCCAGCAAGTTCCCGCTGAAAATAACCAAAAAACATAGCGTCAATCAATTACCTAATCAAACGAACAAGCAGCTGACAAGCAAAATGTCCAAGAGCAAACTTTTCCTTTGCCGAAATGCAACAGAAATGTTCGAGCTAAGTCCTCATGTGCACCGTAAACTAATTATCCATCGGAGCGCACGTAAAATCCTTAAGGGGCGGGACATATTCACAGCGACAGCACCTTGCAACAAACCGTTCCTTGTATACTACTTCCAAACAAGTCACTCCGTTATAGAGTGAGGAAAAATAGAGAAAAAACTCCTCCTCGTGTGACATGGATAACGAAGAATTTTTGTGATTATATTTTTAGCTGTGATCAGTGGCAGAAGTTCAATCTGATTTGAATTCGGGCGACTGATCGCAGCTGGAAAATCATCTTATCGTAAAAAAGGTCTTGCCCCTCATTAGTTCCCGATCGTGTAGCAAAGAAATGTTTGGTGCACTGAACAGGTTTTCGTAAAAATTTGTCGCCACTACTCTTTGCAAAGCTTGCCTCAGCCTCAATGCTTTGCTTTTGTGAAAATCAAACGAGCTTAGAACCGTGCGTTTGACCAACTTAAAACCAAATACTCCCTCGAGAACCGCCACATCACATGCCATAAGAGAACAACACAATAGGGCGAATAAGGTCTAAAAGGAAGAAAATTATACTCAGCAACTTCTTCCTTCACGGGAAGACAAGAACCTACGTTAATGAAACAACGTTACACCAAAATCACACTTACAGAGCGTAACCAAAATGATCTTCTGTGATTTTCAACTTTTGCACTCTCACACTATCAGTGTCAGTGAAAGGAAGGTAAGAAGTAGTCCAGTTCTTTCCCTGAGTCAAATTAATCATACGGAGTAGGGTGTGATTACAACCTTTCTCCCGTCCCCCCTACCCTTCAGACTTTGCACGTGAGGTCTGAGCTTTTGTAAAAGTAGACATTTATACCTTGAGCTTCTTGAAGAGTGTAAAAGCTGCTTTCCGGCTTTCTTCAGCAGACTGTCCGTGTGGCGACTCCGTGTTAGAAACAACACTAATCAGAACTGACACCATATCCAGAACATTTGTCAATAACTCCCTAAAACGAAGTCAGCAGAGATGGATGACAGATAAGTTTGTTGCAAATCGAGTTAAACATTTAACCCCTGCGAGAGACTGATATCTAATTTCTCCCTATAACGTCATCTTAAATCAAACATTAAGGTCATGAGAATAAAGGAAACGATCACCAGCTAACTTAAACAAATTCTTCTTGTGAGAATCTTAGGAAATGTTCAGAGAACTGTATGGAAAATATGCATTCTATATTGTGGTGCAAAGGGTCGAGAGACTTGTACAATCCACGACGAGCTCGACAACGAGCAATTTGAATTAAAAAACTTATCAAAAAAACTTTGCCAAAAAGACTTTAAAACAGTCATTTTAGCAAAATGCTACAAAAGATATATTCCAGGTGAAGCTTAACTGCTCTTTTATGAAAAAGAATAATTTCCACAGTTACTGTTATCGGACACAATTGAGTGCTTTCCAGATTGAAAAACTGTAAATTTGATCATATCTTCATCATCTTTCGCAACTTCGCAATTTCACAAAACTTTGTCTTATCGTATCGAAGGCGATTACAGTTTTCGAGCGTGTCTACGATTTTGTATTTAGAATTGAGGTATCATCTATTGCAGAATAAGAATATCTGTGACTATGAATTAATCTTTTGAGATAAAATCGATTCCTGCTTACATTAAAAGAGTGCCTGGCGTTATTTCTACCCAAGGGAAAAAAAAACAACAAAAACAACAACAGCAACAGTAACAGTAACAACACACAGGGGAAAAAAAACAAAGAAAAATTACTAAATAACATACTTTTTCGAAGGCAGTGAGTCAGCAGTGATTGTACCGGAGCTGACGAGTTGGAACAAAAGTGTAGCCCAATCACTAGATAGTTGACTGCTGCGTTGAATCGTGTCAAACATGGCACCAAGCTATTCATGAAGAACCAAGAAAAATAGGACAAGTCAGACATCCTTACAAAGTGGATAGGCAGTCTTAATATAAACCCAAAAAGATGTCTCGTCCCAGATTGGCAAACAACTTTGACGGTTGAGCGCGAATTTATCGGTTGCATGTATACTGATTGTAATCTTGGCATGGGCACTTAAGAACTCAAGTAACCCGACCTCGAATAAGCGCCCACTCTATGGGTACGAAAAGTTACTAAGCACCCACATTTTGGAAAAAAAAAGGCTGTTTCTTCACTGGCTTACAATCTCGACATTCACCATCAACAGTTTATCTTAACGATTTTTGTTGCAAAATGAACTTACTGCCTACTGAGGGTGGAGAAGGGGGGGGAAGGGGAGAAAGGGTGAAAAAGGGTGAAATCGAATGAGCACCCAGTCTCGCAAAAGCACCCGCTCTCAATGTCAAATATTTGAATAACCGACCGGGGCACTCGATTGAATAAATACGTTGAGAAGATTCTTCATCATAAATACTTAAATACTTCAAAACTGACAAAAGCAGGGCAAGCAAAGGACTCACCAGGCTAATCCTCAAGTGCAAGGCCTCTTGGAGGACTTCTTTGTTCTTTAAATCGGTGGGGCATCTCTCCTACAATGCAGAAAGTAACAACAAAAAAGCATATTAAGTGTTTCTTTGATTAAGGTAAAATGTTAACGCGTTCGCACTCAAACACGGAAGTTAAAGGATGATAACTGAGTAAATTCATTTTCTAGAAATTCCTTTTACATATAGAGTTCTTCTCCGACTGAGTTTGGCGAGAACGCAGCGGCGAGTTAAGTAGACTGGCGCCGGCCACTTTTTTTCTTGCCACGAAACTTCTTAAAATTCATGCTTGAGGCTCACAAACATTAAGTAAGGAGGCTGTTCAGTTCAGACTGGAAATCATCTATAACAGACAGAGTGAAACACACAAACCTCAACTGAGGATTGCAGTAAGTGAGCCAACTGCCGCTGTATGGAAGCCAGAAGTCCTTCCCGCTGGTCCTCTTGCCCCTTAAGACATGCGAGCACTAGCGATAGAAAAGGCTGCGTGTGAACTAAAGTTGGCCTGGCAGAACAAAAAAGAAAATAAGGGAAAAATAAGCGATGATTGAAACAAGAATTCTAGTGGCAGTAACACTTCGCTAAAGAATGGTAATGCATTAGATGAGATTGCTGAGAGTTTTCCAATATTGCTCCAAGGAGTTTCTAGAGCTGCTGTTTCGAGCGTTAGCCCTTAGTCAGTCAGCTTTAGAAACTCTTTACGATAGCCAATTTACATTAACTCAGTTGATAAAACCAAATTATCATGTTATACCCCACACCGACGCAGCACCACCATTACTCTAGAAACAAAACCCCTTTTCACAAATTTTTCCTTGAGCCACAGACAAGATCAAACAAACAGTTCGGGAAAATAAACAGATTCGAAAACGATGATCGCTTCAAATTTTGGTTTGAAAGTATTTTTCTGTTACTTATTTCATTAACATTGTCATCACTTCTTTGCCAATAAAATTACAAACTGATGACATCAACCCATTTCAAAGCTGAAAGAGAAATTTACATATCTTCCCTAATTATGGGTATATTACACAGTAAAAAATTTTATCTTACACAGAAGACTTTGCCGAGTGTTCCTTCCACCATTGTTTGGTGTCCAGTACTTCACCAGCAGCCTTCAGGAGTCGGCCTTGTACCGAGTTAGACAATTTAGAGATTAAAGGAGCAACTAGCCATTCTGGTCCTTTTACTACCACAGACTTTTGGTTGCTATGGGCTGTTGCTAGCGGAGTGGTGTCATGCCGCTGGACGAAGACGCTCATGGCGCTTGTAGCGACTGCATCTAGTAGAGGTCCGGTTTCCTACGACAAAATCAAGTCAATTGAATTACTTTTCCTCGCCCAAACAATACGTGAAAGAAAAGAAGAATTGTGGGATACCTCTTTGGAAACTTGTTTGATCATAAGCTGTAACTCCAACCAAGATTTCCTCAAAGACCACTGATCCAAGTTCTGCAAACAAGTAGAGAAAAAAAAAACCAGAAGCAAATGGTTCAGTACACTAAGAACTCCGTAAAATATTAGCTAAGGTTGCTTCTGTAATCGTTGAACACCAAAGGTTATCATTCAAAAAAACCACTGACCTGTAGTATCCTACTTGCAGCCTCATGCATCGTCTCCATATCATTACTATTAGCAATAAGGCCACCAATGGATGATGGGACACCAGCAGGATAACAAATCAAATGCAGCAATTTCCTCGCCTGCGAGAAAGTGATCAACAACATGAACAACGACAGAACCTGCACAAAAAGGCATGTAATGTTCGTAAAAGATTATAAGCAGCGCACGGTCCGCGCATCGTTCCTATTAGTTGTTCTGGGGTAGATAACCCTCTTTGGCCTGTCTCTTTTGTTTTCACACTGAAGGTCTCAAAGGAGTTTCACCTCTATCTTTTGTACATGATGCGTTCAAGTGTACGAGAAAATGACGAAAGCTAACGAAAAAGTTCTCAATAGTATCATCACATGACCTAAACTGGGAAATAAACTTACCTGCTTAAGAGGTCTATTCTCTAAAGGATTGGACAACAAGAGGAACACACAAAACATCGTGAAAACAATATCGTGATTGTCACTATAGATAATTATCACAGAGCCGGTAAATACCTGGTTGGGAGATATTGCTGGATCAAGTAAATGCTCGGGTGAGCAGAGTATTTGTGGATCTTGAAGGCATCTCTCTCTCACCCATTCCTGACGGCAAATCACTTGCAACGCAAAACCAGCGAACACACTGATGTTCGAAGTCTCCATTGCTACAAGAATTGAATCAAATTAGGATTTACAGCAAACGCTCTTGTAGGCCTTCTAGGAGCATTCATTTCTAAGGATTCAAGGGGATCAAGTGGGGAGATAGCAAGAGAGAGAGGGAGGCGCAAAAAAATTGGTTGTTCCGGTTCAAGTTCCAGCAGTTTTAAGTGACTTAATGTGTTTCCCGCTTCCCTAATGGCACGTTAATCCATCGCAAGTAACCATCTAGCATTACGTGAAGTTTCTCTGACGGTTCATACTCCCGTGTAGAGAGAGACACTGTGAGGGAGAAGTGTCTTTCCCAAGAACATAGCATATTGGCCCGTCCACGGTGTGAACCTAGTCTTCAGAGTCCAGTGCATTCGTAAGTGGGCCCACGCGTCCTTCAAATGACAAGGTGGAGGAATTAGCTACCTAGCAAAGCAGTTTTCAGCCCACCTGATCTGCTCGAGGCCAGTGGAGGAGGAAAAATGTCCCCAGTGCTAGACGTGCTATCCATGAAGTCGTCCAATCTATTGGAGAATAAACTTCGGAAGGAATCATCTCGAGTGGTATCACTAGTGCTGGTAGAACCACTGTCTCCTGCTTTGCCTGATTTGAAAAAAAAAAAATTAATTGATAGGTGGTGTTTCTTGTTCGTTGACCATCGACATGACCAAGCTCTGAGTTCAAGAACACGATCAGAATAAATAGTCTTTAGTAATATTCCAGCTGAGATTTACGCCCATGATTTCGCTCAGTGAACACAAAGGAAAGAGCATAAAGGCGAAAAAAAAGGTTGTCATGGAAACATAACATTGCGCGCTCGCTATTTCGCTCGTTTACATGTACAATGACCAAGGATCTAGAACAGAACGAACATACCGAACTAGACCTCGAACAGTACAACATACCGGCTTCCGACAGCTTGAGCATGGCCTTCAAAGCTGCTAGAACAGGGCCAATTCGGATACTGTCATGCGCAGCAGACAGTAGGTGATGGTCGTGAGATGATTTAAAGGGAAACTTTAACGCCGACGAGTGGTCATGTGACATGACGTCAGTGGACTCGTCAAGAAGCCTCAATAACAGGTGACATGTCAGCCTCGCACCAGGCTCCGCTTCTTGGTTCTCCACACCTAAAAATACAACAGAGTAAAAAAAGTCATATCAAAATCACTTCGAGTGACGAGTGACAAACGACTTTCAGTTCATCTTGACAATGATTTCCACCACAGTGGAAACATACATAACATAATTCGCAATATGGTGTTTTAATTGACAAAAATACATTACTACGGAGAGATACTTGATTGATTGACTGTCAATACATGCTATCACATCACTCGTTTGTTGAAATCCTATGTACTGCGGCAATTGTCGGTAAGCGAACTTTTCCGTGGGAAGAAAGTTCGGTAAGCGAGGCTTTCCGTGCGAGGCGCAAACCACCGAGAGTAACATTACATAGTACGGTTTTCTTCATGCAGAGAGAAAGTCAACAGATGTGTAACACGATCGCATAAACTGACGATAAATCAGCAAGACCGAGTGACGCTGTAATGGCAAGATGGAAATAGCCGGAACTACGGTCGAAAACAACTCCTCTGCTTCCTACGATCAAATCCTTCAAAGTATAAAAGAACTGAAAAATGACGTGTGTTAAATTTCTCACCTGACGGAAGGGCGGCAAGAAGTGAGGGTAACGCCACGTGATAGATGACATCTTCCAATGAAAAGCAACTTCTGGCTATTAGTAAAGCTGTAAATGTGGCGACGGACTCATGAATTGATAAATCCCCGACCTGTAAGCAAGATCGTGAGAGAAGTCTTCAGCTACTAAAGTTGCTGGCTTAAGGTAACTACTTTTTCTTGGGGTTGCATTGGTTTTACCTTACTTCGCTCAGTGATTGGTCCAGAATACTCAAGTCACCCCCCTCAACCAATTAGATGTTAAATCGGCTCGTTAGGATATCTTCCTTCATTCTGATTGGCCATTTTGAATACATTGGTTTTGGTTTTATACTAATCAATTAAAATGCACTCTTTTACGTTGCCATGTTCACTAATTTTCGTTTCTCATAGCAAAATCATCTCGATCAAATGATTAAAACAAATGATCAAAACAAAGCACACTACTGTAATCTGGACTATTATGTAAAAACCTTTTGGTTTCACTAGGAAAAATGCAGATTTTAGTCTTGCAGGTTTTCCCCCCCAAAATCAAGGCAGTTAGTAATCCTTAGCGTTTGCCTAGAGTAATTAGTTTTTATCTTGCCGCTATACTTACATCTACTTCCAAAAGCAAATCCACAAATCCCGAAGAGCTGTTTGAAGAGCAACACAGTGCTCTGAGAACGCCAAGCCATTGTGAACTGAGCTTGTCATGATGGGCAGTTACCTCTGCACACAGAACACCGATGTCGTACAATCTGTGGATACAGTTCAGTGATAGTATTATATAATGAAGCTAGCACTCTGGACTAGGAGCGTATACTAGTACTGCAGGTATTTTTATTCCAGGAACGGAAAAAAGAGGGAAAACACACAACGAAAGAGCTGTTCATGAACAGTTTAAGAACTAAATGCGACCGTTATCAACGCAGTTGATGAAACCAAATTAGATTTGGATACGGTTGAAAAGCCGTTTTCACGTTTGCTTAAAGCTTTAAATTTTCTTTAAAACAACCTGTGCTCCCGCTCTTACGAAGAGCCGAGCTTGTTGCGCCTGTTTTGGAGTAGTGGTAAAGCGTGAGAGCTTAAAATGTCGTTCTTTTTTCTTAAATTCTTTTCGGTTCCTACCTGTTACTAGCCTAACTTTTTAGAACATTACCTTTCGCTATTCTGACAGTTGCACACATTCATCATGGCATTACACACAAAGCTGTAAACATCACATGGTTTCTCGTGATTCAGAAGATAATCCCAGATGCCATCGAGCCTCTTGGTCCTGAGACGTTCAAATTGAATTTCAGTTAAGAGTGACTATCAATCACTTGAACTGCACAGGTTTAAGGGGGAACCATTCTTAAGTTTATCCCATTGGCGATAAAAAATGACTGGTCCCTTATGTTACGATGGGGAAAGGAACTATTTTATTTTACTTGGAGGGGGGCAGGTGTGTAAAGTAGCGCCCTCCTAGTAATTGAGGGAACGTCAAGTTACTTTTCATTTTACAAAATAAGGATCAGTAATTTCCTTAACAAAGGAACAAAGGAAGGATATACAGTACACCACAGGATTCCCTCCTTGCCCCGCCCTTGGTTACCTTGGGTTCTGGAAGTACTCTGCCATAAACTTTGGTTCGTACGGTTCAGTGCAAGCTGATGGAGTGGTGCTCGAACACACTGCTTGCTTGATCTTAGTGAAAGCAGTGCTGAAAATATCCGCATACTTTGACTGCAAAAAAGTATAGGATAAAAGTTAGACGTCAAATAGATACTCGATGAATATGAGAATGATCTTCAACTTCCGTATAGGCCTAAATTCTTTAAGGATTTATTTTCACTTCTGCTTAAGTAGTGTTCCTTACTACGAAGATCACTCTCATATTCATATAATAATGCGCAGCTCACATACATGATATTCATATGTTTACAGTCAAACTGATACTCGTTAATTAAAAATAAACAACAAAGAGGCTGTTAGAATAAATGAAAAAGCAGAGGGTTCACTTAGGAACTCTAAGGAAGTATAAGACAACCTTTACTTTTCGCCTGCGGTACTCATGAATAGCTGTAGAAATAAGAATACCCGGCAATCCACGTGAAGTAACATAACACTTGAGCTGTTTTCATGAACAACTTAACGGATCAGTGCAAGTTACATGACCAACATATTGTTTTAATATTTCTAAAGGACTGAAGAGGCTCCGAGAGCGAGACATTTCTCAATTCGGCTGTTTTTGTGGTCAAGTACGCCACAATCTGAACATTGACTTTTTCGCCATAGAACTCAGTGGTTCTTTTTATCGCCAACTTACCCTGAGGTGGGCACAAGATGAGTAAAGGTCGAAAAGCAGTCCCAGAATGCATCTTTCAGGCGACGAGCAAATACCTGGGTAAGCGATGTTCTCCACGGCAGCAAGGAGCCTGGAATCAAAATTCATTTTTTAAAACAGCCACCGAAAAACTTCAAATGGGTAAATTTAAAGCTAGCCGCTCGTTTCATAAAAATTCATTATTATGAAAATAATTTAAATACAGGTGGTTGGTTTATCTCGGAGACTTTTTATAGGCTCATCTACCACAGTTCATTATCCATTTTACCATTGAAGACGCCCTTGTATCTAAGTCTTACGGATTTTTCACATGAGAAGCGCCTCAATATAATATTTTGTGAAAGGAGAAGCCGGAAAAAAAACTCTTGGAGTAAGCTAGAGAACGAACCACACGTTCGACCCACATGTGACGCCAAATCTGGGAGTTGAACCCAGGCCACAGTGGCGGGAGGTGAGCGCTCTAACCAAGTACCATGCCCACTTCCGAATTGGCTCTGGGGAGAAAAGCTCCCCTTAATCCAAGTTATCTATAAAAATCCGAAGGTAAATAAAGTTTCAACCCTCTAACAAGCAATGAAGTGTATTTTGTAGTATCCCACTTAGATGGTGTGACATCACTCCTACGTTATAAATACTCGAATAACTTCAGAAGACAACAGACTTGTTCATTTCCACCTCCTCTAACTGATATCTGTCTGAGCAAAGACTCAAAAAGGAAAATCTTACCCTCTGAAAATCCTTGTTGTGTGCTCGGGGAGCAACATTAGACAGGCGTGATATTTGCGAAGCATCGCGACTACCACAACTGACTTAGTTGGTAATGTCCCAACGACTGTTTTAACTTGTGGTAATTGCGTGGTTGATATATCTTCTTCACTTGGCATAAGCAGGTACGCCACAAAGTCGAGAAGTCCATGAACATCACCAGAAAGTTCGAACAAGTCGTACAGGAATTCAAGTTGGCTCAGTGTCGGTGTGGGCATTACTAAACCAAATATCTTGGGTTGTTTGACTTTCTGGTCGCGAAGAATGTTGGTGCACTTCGCAACGGCTAAGTACTGGTCAAAGCACGTGAGGTTTGAAAATTTGCTGAAGGAAAAACGATCAAACAAAACAAACATATGGAAACTGATAGTAGTTGGTGAAGAAGAAAACGTTGCTGAGGTGGTCAAACCGCGTGTAATATTTTGCACTGACAACGTTACGGAACAATGCTGTGTTGCTATTTTCCAAAGGGTTTGTCAGATAAACGCATTATTTATTCTATTAAGAGTTTCTTTCTTGAATCAATCCTCCTTTATGATTTACTCCAAGCAACGTGATATGAAGTGAACTGACATATGAGCAGTTCTTACACTAAGTTATGGAGTGCTGCATACAAAACAGTTGTTTCTTAATAAAGGGGTAAGTTTCTGAAAAAACTGTGGTGCTACGTCGGTGGGAAAGTATAACAGGTAATTTAGTGTTAACAACTTGTTGCTGGTGATGTCATTTATGCGTTTGTTCTCCACTGGATCATATATACATGTAATAACTAATCAAAACGCGTGTATAACTCAGCTTCTTAGGCGAAGTATTATAACACAAGTATTGTTCTCACACTAACCTATAGAGCACGGCTCTTTTTTCATCTCTTTCTCGCTTCAAAACCAAATATTCATTGCTCTGCCCTTGATCAGTACAGAGCCCAGAATCGTCCACCTTCCCCAGATCATTCAGCATGGCACAGAGCGCCTTCATCACTTCTTTGGTTGTAGCTATTGCCTGGCTTCTCGCCTTACCCACTCCGTACAACAAGATAAGCCGCTGGTTACTCTCGTGTGCTGTGACATTCTCAGCAGGAATGGGAAAATGCTGGGCGTACTGTGCATGCTGCGACTTTTTGGGAAGAGTGCAAGTTGAATCCATGAGTGAGTTGTCTCTTTGGTCAGCGGTCAGAGAGGACGGATTTGCCAGGCCTGGCTCAAGTTTTGTGTTATTTGCGACAGCTGGTTAAAAATAAGAACAATAACCAAAACAAAAATCAACCATTTAAAAATTAAGTTAATATCAATACAAATTTAAATGAAAATGTCTGTCGTGCTAGAGTGAAAATTAAATTATAAAATAACTGAGATATAACGCCCCTAAATGCCCATTTTTTTAATCCACAAGTTGAGGTAATTCTTTGACATACTGGGTTACCATAGCAGCAAAAGACTAAATTAAAAGCCTTAATCAAACTTAAATGTGCACATAATGTAAGACCGATTTCAGTGGCCCCCATTTTGAATCATTGTAAACATTTCAAGATTCACCTATCTACAGAGATAATTATTTACTAGGAGGGGTAGAATCACCTCAGTTTTCCAATAATTTAATTCAGAGAATTGTTGATAAAATCTTACCTGAAAGGTCAGCAGTTAGTATCGGGGTTTCCTGATCTGCAAAAATTTCATTATCGCCTTGGTCAAGAAGTTGTATGAGTCTGTTTTGATGTACCAGCAGCTCCTGATCCAGAAGGTGCTGAGACATCTTCAACTCACTGTCACTGCTGCTGTCCTTACGGCCAAGATCTTCTTGGCAGGTCTGTGGAGACGGGTAATGAACAAAATTAGTGGATATCGCTCACGGTTGCTTGTAATTATTGGGCATTTTTATAATTACTGGGCTATTTTTCGTTTGTAGTGTTCACATTTAAGATCGAGATTTGCAAAGTTTGAGATCCAAT